ATATATATAAGTAATCCATATGAGCTAAAAGCTTTCACAAACTGAAAACCGTCACTAAATTAAAGTCATTTTTTTCATTAAAGGATTTAGAAACAGTTATCCACGTCTATGTTATCTTTTCTATTCTTGTATAAAGGATTTCCAACTTTCACTCTCCCTTTCTTAATTCCAAATACAGCTGCTCGGCTCTTAAGAAAGAACAGCACATCACTTTGGTCCAAAAGTAAATTAGCATCTATGCTCACAAAATAACTTACTTATCACTGAATAACACTTATTGTTAACCTGAAATGAAATTATTTTCCTTGATCTAATTACCTTGGTGAAAAGGGACTGAATTCAGAGTCAGTGGTTGTGGTCTTGGCAGTGGCAGCAGGAGAAGTGACGCTCTTTGTTCTTATAGTTTGTTCATCTTTCAAGCAGTCCAGAGGTAGCCGACCAGGACGGTGCATTTTCTTCAGTGACACAGGCCTCTCCTTCATTAATAATAAATAAATAACAGCAGAACAAACACATTATTATATAATGGCTACTTTGGTAATTTCCTAATTTCAATATCTCATTAGTTTATTTTATTGTTTTCTGTCCACATGTAATCCAGGGAAATGATACAAATCATTGAAAAAATTAGCCTTAAATTCTTTCTATCATTTGCATTATCTTTGTATCACTAAACAACACAACATGTAGGGAAAATGAAATTAACTACCACTGGTTAATGTCATCATTCTCACAGATGGTCATCAACAAGTGAATATGGTCCTTTTGCAGGCAAATCAGTCTTAGCACAACAAGTTGAATTAGGTGTGGTGATTCTCACCTTACTGATTGAAGACAAGTTGTTTTTAAGCTTTAGGCCATAATACTGAGAAGACGCCTTGAGACTGTCTCTGTCCTGGGATGTCAGTTTGGGAGATGATGTCGGCAATGCACTGCGGTTCAAGTGGGAACCCCAACAGTCTGACTCCTTCATAGACAGAGACAGAAAACAAAACAACAGCCTCATTGAGAGATTTGTTCAGATATGTTAGATATTTATTACATTTGAGATTAAAACACAAACGTCAGACAACGATGGACACAAAGAGAGCCTCCTCATTACCTTTTGGCTGTGAGTATGCCCATTGGCGGCCTCATTGCTGTTCTCTTTGGCTTGTTTTAAGCTGCGGTATTCTTTATACAAATCTGCAAGGAAGACACCAAATAAATCATAATCTTCTTCGCTTATTTACACTACAGCTGGAAATTCATACTGATGGCGAGCACTCACTTCTGGTCTCCTCTGGAGCCCGATCAATGTCCTCCTGAAAAATGTACCATTCAGCGTTCATAAACAATAATACTAAAACAGGTAGCATGCTAACAAAGCTCGTTGTTGTTAACAGTTAACTCACCTTGTTGGGTTTTCTCTTGTGCTCTTTGACAAACCCCTGCTCCCAGTTTTTCAGCAAAACTTTCACGTCATTGTAGCGATCCATGCTGAGGTGGACAGGGCTGTTTTCAAACTGCTGTCGGGTGATTTTCTGTTATAACATTGGCGTTATTGTTCTTTTTTCAAAGAAAGTAGCAGCGTAAGCTTATATGTTTATCCTCTATTAGCTGCTTTAGCTTCTTCTCACTCCAATTAACATCTCTGCCAGTATGGCAGATGACATGAAGACATTTTTGTGAAGTATACAGTAACTATCAAAGCTCCTTCCGCTATGTTGTTTACGATTTTCCCGCGCCGGAAGTCAGCTTGTGTTGCCAGGTTCTTTCCTGTATCCTCCGATCTCACAAAATTGCTTTTTTGGTGTCAAACTATTGAGTTCAAGTATTATTTTTTTTAATCATTAATGATGAAATGAAAATATAGCAATGAAACAACAGCGCCTTCAATACATAGCTGTGAAGCACGTACATTTATCTTGCAAGACGTCAAATTTCTTAAAACTCGTCACCTCATTTGTCAAGCAGGCACTTCCGCTTAGTTTTGACCCGCCTTCATTAAAGAGACATGGACAGTTTAAAAGGACTCAGCTCTTTGATCTGTGCCTGTTTATGGGATACATTATACTGTAAACATGAAATTTCTATAAGATGCGCATTTTGTTATTATAATTGTCAGGACTTCAGGCATTTAAAAAAAATAGTAATAATGAATTAATGCGATGTCTCAAAGCAGACATCAAGTGCTACTGGTTTAAGTAACTGACCCTTGTTTGTTTCACAATTCGTTTCACCACAGTGGCAAGTTTACTTTTATTGTTCATCTACAGCTAATATATCAGACTGAATTAAAGAATATAAAAGAATATATGTCTGAACGTCTTCATAAGTTCTTGTATAACATTTACAATGCTCTCCTTCCTGCATCTTCTCCTTCTCTCTCTCTCTCAATTAATTTTTTTCCTGCAGGATACTTACCTGCACCTTTATTCTTTAGTAAATTTTGACTTCTATCATTTCAGTTTTTAGACATGGCAGGATTCATCTAGAGGAGGGCTGCTTCATTACAAACTATTTCATTACTTCATTACAAACAGCTCACCTCCTCTGTGTGCAGAGGAACACAAAACACTACTTTACCATCAAACTCTGACCACATGCGTAACAACTAGAGTCCAGATAGAGAGGCAGATTTTTGTTTGTTTGTTTGTTTGTTTTTGTTTTTGTTTTGTTTTTTGTGGACCTTATTGTCACATTGTATGATGAACCTCATCTGAGGTCTAACATTATTCCTCCTGCAGCTCCATTTCTTCTCTCTCTCTTGCTGCCTCCTAACATGCTTTCCGCCTTCTCTTTCCTCTTGTCTTTGGAAAACAGCATCACAGTTTCCACGGACACCGTATTGGCAAATAGCACCAAGGTGGTTGTTGTTAATCCTAAATGATCCAGTATGGAAGTCTCATTATTTATGAGCTTGATATTTCCTGACACAACCATCTCCATCGCCAAATAGTACCAGCCTTTGGTCAGGCTGCTATCACTGATGCCTCAATCACATTTGACAGCTTCTAAATTAAGTTTATCAACATTTTACCCTGTTATAGTCGGTTATGATGGTAAGCAGTGCACTGTATCAAAAGTAAATCCTATTACATCATGAAAAGAAAAGAAAAACAACTCAAATAAAGTACGAAAGAACATTTTATTATCAGCAGGGTGTATAAAACGTTCATTGTGAAAGGTAATACCACTAGGTAAGTTTATGTCTGACATGAAGGACTGACATATATTACACCTGTCATTATGAGACACCATCAAATCACTCCAGCAGAGAGACCTCATGGAAGTATGCTCCCAGCAGCTTGACTCCCTGAATGTAGTTTGATCTGAAAATGGAGAAATAAAGCAATGATAATAGTTTGTAATTAAAAAACTCACTTTACCTGTGATCACGTTTTGGCACAGAAATAATCTGGAGATGACAAACATGATCCTCTTCTTTTACCACAAGATTTCATCCGTTTTATCAATAGTTCCTACTTGTTCCACATTTCAAAAGAAGTGAAACGGTGTGAGCTGTGACCAACCTGTTGATCTTTTCATTCTGAGAGTGAGCTCCATCATCAGAGGACCCTACAGGAAGCAGCATGACATTACGGCCTGTGGCCTCCTGGAAGGTCAGGGTGACCGGGATGCTGCCGCCCTCGCGAGTCAGATCAGGCTCGACCCCGAAGACTACAGCACAACGAGGAGGGAAAAACAAGGCAAAAAGCAATAACAATTTTAATAATAATAATATTTTTGTTTTCACATCAAAACTTAAAGTTCACAAAGCATATAACAAAACAAGGCTTTTGTATAATAAATTTGCTTGTCTTCGTTTTTAATGTCCTGAAACATCTGCCCGAGGACAGGAGCTGAAACATGACAAAATATTTGATTTCTCTTAAAGAAAAAGCATTGCAATGTAAACTGTAAGAAAGTCAGTTGTATTATAGCAGGAGAAAGTGTTTTACACTTTTGTAATACAATAAACACAGAACTGATTTCGACTTTGTATCAAGAATAAAGAAATGGGGAGATTGAGTGAACTCCCTCTTTAATCTAACAGCTTTTATCATTAAGTCCTTGTACCTGTCTTCATGGCCTTTCTCCCTGCCATGTAGTGTGGGTGGTTGAAGTCTGAGACCCAGGCTTTGGCCCCGTGGCCCATGTTCACTTTCAGTTTATTGGGGCTTCCCAGTTCAGCAAACTTCTTCTGCAGATGATCGATGACCTTGAAGAGGGGAAGATAACTTGTTGGAGCTTTTATGCAGAAACAACCTGGTGCTCACTATGAGTGCAAAGGGTTGAACTGTATTAGGTGAGGCAAAACTGACAGAGAAAATAACTAAATCTCTTTGTCATGTTAATTCAGAGTCAGTTTAAAAAAAAACACTATGTGTGCAAAGGGTTGAACTGTATAAGGTAAGGCAAAAGAAAGTGACTTGATTGGTTGGTTTGCCTGTATATTTTAATGCTATGATCTGTGATATTGGTTTTCTGTCTAAATAAAGTTGCCTTCATTCACATTAAATCCCTCCACAGTTTTTTACTACATAATATAATATATTCATAATATTTCTCAATTTTATACATTGCAGTTTGTTTCACGGACTTCTTAAAAAAAAGCATGGCTAAGCAAATCATCTGAGCAACAAACTACCAATAAGTGGCAGAGATACAGAGCGACTTCTGCTACATTATTTAGGTGAGTGCTATATGCCATCATTGTGACCTATCACAGTGTTTACCTGCTTCTCCACAACTTTGGGATCCATGTCAGGCACAAGGCGGATGGAAAACTTGCCGATGACCTTGCGAGGAATAACAGTCTTGGCTCCTGCTTCAGAGAAAGCCCCCTCAATACCATGAAGGGAAAGAGAAGGATATCTCCAACGGTGCATGAGGATTTGCTCCTATGGTGGAAGAAATAAAATCTCTCTCTT